TTTTTTCAGTTTTCCAGTATGGTGAAAATCTATATTAAACACACTTATTTCAAAATGTTTAAAACAACACAATTTTGGAGGGGGGAAATTTCAAGATTTTTGCCTTCTTCCAGGTTTCATTGCGGCTTTGTGCCTTTTGATAGCTTTTGTTTGGACGTTATATTTAAAAATTCCACAAATACCGTTCAGGATGGCATGAACACCGGAAGCCCACACACACTGGTGAAGGCATGTCCTTACAGGCATATGATAAATCTGCGCCCCCAAGCAAGATGATTTATGATGGCCAGCTGTGTCACTCCAGACAACGTCTGCTTGTGGTCTGACCAAGGTCTCACTCATACGCACGTTGCCGCTCTGCACTGAGTAGTAGTTAGGACTCATTTGTACATCCTTTAAATTTAGCAAAAAAAAAGAGACTGTTCATCTGTGCAGTTTCCAAAAAGGAGATTTATAACTTTTCAGCTTTCCTGCAGATTATTACTTGTTATTCTATTTAAACCTTTAAATCCCTCTCTGTAATGGCAAGAGGATGAAGTCTGGATTTACAGTGCGAAAAAAAAAAAAACGATAAGCTAAAATAAGAGATGCACTTCCGTCTGAGCAATCAAAGGCTTGGCCCTCGTTCCCCCTTTTCCCCCCACCTCAGTATTGCTGAATCTTCCTTCATTCACAGACTCAGCAGCTTTTCTCTGCAGTTCTCTTCTTTCTTTCAAATGTAGTTCAGTATGTCAAGCAGTGCTGAAATATTAACACAGCAGCAGCATGAGGGAATGCGTGCAAGCAAACTGTCTTTCTTGATGATTTGTTTGGGTAGATTTATCTGCATGTGTTAATATCAGAGTAGAGATATTTCGTGAAGCAGTGAGCCTTAAAAATGTATTCATATTGTTTTTATATAGTTTTGCTGCAGACAATCCTTTTCTTTTCTTTTCTTTTCTTTTCTATTCTTTTCTTTTGAGCCAGTTTTCATTTTCTTTTAAGAGGTCATCAAGGACTGCTTACAGAAAAAGTAAGGAAAAGTAGGGGATAAACAAACCATGATGAACGTGACCCTGTTTCCCTGTCTTCCTCTTTGTAGGAGGATGTTGTGAGCTTCTTTGCTTTGTGCTTGGTTTCAGCACCAAAACCTTTCCATATGTGTGTGTATATATATATATATATATATATATACATATATATATATATATAGAGTATTTGAAGATGCTCTGATCCAGTAGGTTTGGGTTCTGATCCAAATTAGATGCCTGAATTCAAATGTATAGGAAAATATATTGCTTTAGGTGCATCATTTCCCATCATTGTCTTTTCTCTGTGCTGGCCAAGTTCACAAATTTATCAACTATTATCCCCATTTTGTACACATAATTTGATATGTCAGCCATTCCTCCTTGCATTTTGTACCTGTAAAAAAAACAAACATTTTCATCCTGCCAAATCGTTTTATTTGTGTTTGCTAATTTGTTTGTCGAATTTTGGAGATAAACAAATTAGAGATATAAGTGTTGAAATCTCATATGCGAGTAATACATAGCTTTTATCTGAACCCATTTTGGCAAACTGACTGATAGAAATCAGACTGGACCAAACCAAGATAACCCTGAGTGTCATACAGGTTAATATTTTGGAGCAGAAAAACCACTCTCCTGCATAGACTATTAAAAATAACTTTTATTCATAAAATGTTAGGATAAGGTATGAAATGCATTGACATGCCAGGATATCAACCCAGTTGGCGATATAATTTTGTTCTCAGAACAGTTGGTATGAAATGGCGGAGTGAAATGACTAATCTCCTTCTAACGTGTAACATTGAGGTGTAAATAATTTGATCACCAGCAGCGCTGTGCTGTCAAGAATTTTATTTTTTTTTTTGGACAAACTTTTTACAGCCGAATCACCTCAGGTCTCACACAGTATGTCGACTCTTTTTCCTAAACGCAGGAATAAAAACTCAGATTTCCCAGCTTTTTAAAGCGTCATCTGCTTATATCCTCTGTTTTCCTCATTAGCGGTCCACAGATGTGTCACTCATAGATTGTTGCTAGGAGTGAATCATGTCTTGGTGTTTTCCAAAACTTTAGCATGATTCAGTTTTGCTTCACTCCCAGTATCTGCGCTTGGCAGAGCTGGCAGCTTGTGATCAAGTGCACTTAATCTTTTGCAAAAAAAAAAAAAAAAAAAAAAAAAAAAAACAAAACACAACTCTCCCCGTTTGATGTCTTGGCCTGAAAGCTTTAAATCCTCCCATGTCCTGGTCTTGTTTTGGAAACAGAGATTTCTGTAAAGCTTGAGCTGGATCACTACCAGAACTAGGCATTTCAGAGCACTTAGTTTTGCCCGTTTTTTTGTTTTGATCTTATATTAAAATTGCTTTTCCTATAATTTTTTAAACATCTGCTGCAGAATCTTCCATTTTACATGTCTTCCCCCCATTATGATTCATACAGTTTTTTTCTGCTGTTGCTCTGCCTTTTTTTTCCCCCCCAGCTTGAACTAAAAAAGCATTCAGCCATATTGCTGTTTGCCTGACCGTGGCTCAGACGCTCCCTCCGGATATGAACCATTCCGATACAGTGCAACCCATATTTCACGCAATTACTCATCTCGCTACTTAAATAAATCAAATTCAATGGGGGAAACATGTAATGCATGCACTGAATTAAAATGCAGATAAGAAAGAGGAGAAAATTTGTTTTTAAATTCAGTAGACAGCTAGAAAGTGACTGAGTGAGTGAAACAGATGCGCACACACACACATACACATACACACTGCGGCGAAGCTCAGCATTAGTCGAAGCAGCAGCAGAGCTCTCGCAGCATCCTTCATCCCCCCTCATCCCTCACTCTCTGCTCTGCCTTGCTCACTCGCTCTTTCTCGTCTGCTGACTGAGGTATTCCTGTGCGCACACTGGTGCAGCTCACAATTACAGCCTTATGGGACTCTTCTCTTGTTTGAGTGCATAAATTCACCCTCTTTGGATTCCTCTGCCTGGAAACTGTCTTTGGGTCCGCCTGTAAAAGAATCCCCCCCCCCCTCCAAAAAAAAAAAAAACTCTGGATTCGTGGGGGTCTGAGCTGAATCATGGACCAGAGTGCAGCAGGGGAAGATAAGAGAAACTGGGTCATGAGCGGGCTCCCCTGAATGATGCCCGCTTGCACGTGGAGGAATGGGGTGCACCACCAGCGCCGTTGTTTTTGACGGGCTGCGAACTGTCTTGGAGAGGAATTGCAGCGGCTACATCTGCAAGGAAGCTGCCGAGCCTGCCGGGCCATCTGAGGCTGAGAGGGCGCTGAGTCGGAGAGAGTCGCGCGTCATACCAACACCTAGAATACTTAAGGTCTGCCTTCATTGAATGTGGTAGCAGTTATAACCCAGTGTCATTTTTTTTATGTGCATGTTTTTAATTCCTAGTTTCAGTGTAAAAAATACGGGATCTAAATGCCAATTTTAAGCATCGTTATTTCAAATAATAATGTTTAAAAATGATGATTAAGACTGGAAAAGGACTTTCATTTTGCACAAAAATCTTCTGTAGTATAAGAGGGTTTATAAAATATATTTAACTAAATACAGTGGGTTTTTCTTATTGAAAATTCTATATATTTCACGTTAAGAAAGTCAACATTTTTGAAACTCCTTTGCTTTTGATCGGCCAAAATGCTGAATGAGAGTGCACAGTGAAATGATTCAGAAGTATAAAACGTCTACCTTCACTAGATAATTTTTTTTTCCTATTTCTATAGAGAGAGGAAACTGGAAACGCTTATAGGATTGCATATTTCCAAGCACTTACACTATCACCTTTCACATTTGCCAGAGTAATGGCTGCATTATTTGCAGCCTTGTTTCCATGTGAGTAAGCATTCAGTAGAGTGAAGTGTACAAAAAGTAGGGCAGTAGGAGGGCTGAGCGTTGCCTCCTGTTAAGCGTTGCATGGGTTAAAGCCTCTTGAGGGCTGGGACACAAGTGAGGAGGTTAAAGAGGGGGACAGTAAGCTCTGTGTCTGCTGGAAATCAATCACCGCTCTTCATCTGGGAACCGGCAGGGTTGGCAGAGCTTCTGCTGCTCCGTACCAGCTTGTCTTTCCCCTCTTGTTTGTGTTGACTTTACTGCGTGCGATTGCGTGTGAGTTTGATGTCTTGTTCTTGACGTGGGCTCATCAGATTGAATGTAAAGTGCTGAGTGACAGTGGCCTGGCTGATGGCAGGGAATTAGGTCAAGGGCACGATTGCTTCCCTTGGCTCCGGGACGGTCTTATCATCCAGACAGCAGGAGTTAATCCTCCGTCAGTATTTACAGTCTTTTGTATCGATTGAATGTGTGCAGAGAATGTGCTTGGTGTGACACCTTTCACCACTGAGCAGCTTTAATAAAAAGATGTAGAAAATTTGCATTGGGAAATATTTATGAAAAACTGATTTTGTTTAATCGTATATTGTGTTGTGGAAAATATTCAAATCCTAAATGCCATTTTAACCGTATGTTCCCTCTTTTACTTCTTGTTTTTTTTTTTTTTTTTTTTTTTTTTTGGTTTTTTTTTTAAAAAGAAATGATTTTGTTTGTTTTAAAAAACTTTTT